GGTACCTCAGTCTCAAACGTACCAACACCAGCTTTCTCCATCAACTCCAATCCCAATCTTCCCCCAGGACCTCCCTTTCTTTGTGCTTTTATAGTATCCTGCAGTTGTCACCATCAGAACATTGCCACATTGTTTAGAAAAGTCAGATGACACAACTTTCTTTTTAATTAGTCTATTAGCCCCTAAAGAGCAAGAATCTATATTTTACCATTGAAAATTCCCAGTGTTTACAACTGGTATGTAGTAGGTGCTCACTCTACTAGGACCTTGTTCCTGCTAATTTCTTTCCACTCTACCCCCAAACATTAAAAAAAAATTAAAACAGCAAGCAAAACTTGTTCTTGCTTTACCTACCTGTGAAACTTTTCTAATCAATCTTTTATGTCTGTTCCCTTTTTTGTTGTTGTTGTTTTTAACTTTGGCCTCTGGTATCTAGCTGTTTGGTGGACCATACCCATGAATTCATCATCCATGACCTCTTGCCACCTCCCACAGTTCCTCCTTCTTGAAGCTTTTGACTGTTGTTCATATTCCCCTTAAACTGTCTCCTGTGACTGCACGCCACTGCCAAGCATTATCCTTGTTTCAAATCCTCCACTGCCATGAGTCATTTAACCTATCCTACCCACCAGCACCAGAAACACATTCCCACCTGCGCTTTTGGGCTGTTTGCCATTTGTGTTGGCAGGTGCCTCAATAAAAAGTCTTATCCTGTGAAAGCCCCTTGTTTGAAGCAAGAATTTCTTCAAATTTAGTTTCATTGTACATTAGTTGGGATCCAGACCTCTCCCTAGTTCCCTAGGGTCATCGACTGAGTGAACCAGCGTCTTTTTTCTTCACTTCAGACTCCAGTACTAACATACTTTTTGTCATACCAAAAAGTGTTTTTTGTTGTTGTTATTGTTATTAATTAGCAAGTAGTTTTCAAGCACCTCTCCCTAATTCCTGTTACATTTTCCGGGAATCCCTAGGGAAAGGGGCTAGAAGAGGAAGCCACTAGATGGGGCTGTGGTGCATTTAGGCTCAAACTTTATTTTTATTTTTTATTCTTTTTAAGACAGGGTCTCGCTTTGATGCCCAGGCTGGAGGGCAGTGGCTTAGCTATGGCACTGCAGCCTCGATCTCCCCAGACCCAGGTGATCCTCACACCTCAGCCTCCCAAGTAGCGGGGCCTACATGCCGCGCCTCTACACTCGGCTAATTTTTGTATTTTTTGTACAGATGAAGTTTCGTCATGTTGGCCAGGCTGCTCTCGAACTCCCGGGCTCATATGATCTGCCCACCTCGACCTCCCAAAGTGCTAGGATTACAGGCATGAGCCACCGCACCCAGACTCAAACTTATTTTTCAATTCCGTTTAAGATTATCTGAGGAAATATATGCGTATATATTGTGACAAAATTTATGTGGGTCAGTTCTCATCTTTTCAAGGGCTATTGTGTTCTCCTGCGAAAGCATGGGGGTTGCAGATGTCAAACCTGACCCTTAAAACGTCAGTACTTGGAGTGTAACCACTTCAGGAGTGGGAATGGTATTAGGGACTGTACTCAGCGGTACACCGTTCGACCCTCTCTGTAATCCTCGGCAAGTCACAGGACATTTGAGTTTATCTTCCGTAAAATGGGAATAACCTTACTGAGTTATCGGAGTAAAGGAATAATGTAAGGAAAAGTACTTTCCGAAGCAATAATGCCAGCTTACTGAACGGAACACTGAGCAGAACAGCAGGATTCCCACCGGTCAAGCCCCCCGGTCTCAATCCCAGCCCCAAGTGCAGGACCGCGGCGCCTCGTCTCCGTGACAACGTTCCCGCGTTCCCGGCCCCGCCCCCACCCGCCGCCAAGACCGGAAGCTGCTGCGAAGCGGGCACTTACCTGGTTTCTCCCGACGGCGTCCGGTCCGCTCTTCCCCGCCGGGAGGTGAGAGCCGAGGCGTCTTGAGGGCCCCCAGGCCGCGGTCAGAAGCGGTGGTACCCGGGCTGCGGAGCCGGGACGCGGAGAGGCGGCCGCGGACTCCGCGCCACCCCTCCCTCCGCGGGCCAGTGCAGCGCCCTCCACACGCGTCCCAGTTCCCCAGCCCGCTCCTCTCCGCTCCCGCCACCTCGCTTCCTCCCCTCGCGTCTGCGCACCCCTTCCCCTTGTCCTTTTCCGCGGACCCCCGGCGTCTGCCCTCCCAGCTGAACCCGCGCCCCCTGCCGGCCCCACGCGTCGTCCGCCGCCTCGCCCTGGCGGTTCCTAGCCCCGGAGGCGGGGTGGGCGCAGGAGGTCAGGAGACTGTCGGACGCCAGCCCTCCGGGAGCCACCTGGCCACAGCGGAGGCGAGCCAAGGGCGGCTTCCCCCGCGGAAAGACCCCGGCGTCCCGGGCTTTGGTCGAAGCCTCCCCGCCAGGGACCCCGTTGTGCGGTGTCGAGGGTTCCTTCCGTGCTCAGATTTAGAACAGATTCTGCTCCTGGTGCTGAAGTGACAGGGCAACCACTCTCTTCCAGAGGCTGCTTTAGCCCTGGATCCCTCATGTATCCATTAGGGTACCTGACAGCTCCAAACCGGTGACCTCAACCCTTCCCGGCTCTCGAGTCTTGTCCCCCAGACTCTTCTGGCCCCATTTCATCTGGGAGTGCAGCTGCCTGCTGCTGCTTCCTCCTCTGTGCTGGGACAAAGCGCAGGGGGTCACCCCAGGGCCCGCTGCTGCCTTTGGCCTCTTAACCACATAGTACCATGGATAAGTGTGGATGGCCTGGATTCAGACCCCAGCTTTGCCCTTGGCCAGAGTACCTGGCTTTGCTGTGACTGCATCTTCGTCTACAACATAAGGATAAAAATCTAGGGTTTTTATGAGGATTTAACTTTTATTTTTACTAAAGTGTTCAGAACAGTGCTTGGCACATAATAAATTAATACGTGTGTCTGCTATTATTTGTTTCATAGCACATCATTGCATAAAATTGTATCATTAATTTGGTAACAAGCTTTATGAACTCACAGCTTTATACAGGCACTGCTGTTTCTTTAATACCTAGAACAGTACTTGAAGTGAGAAAATAAATCAAATGGCAGGATACATAAGGGGAAGATAGAGGCGGATGTAAGATTTTTAAAGTAGTCATTATTTGTTGAAGCTGTGCAAACACTATCATATACCTGCTACCCAATTTTAAAAATGTGTTTAGGCCGCACGCGGTGCCTCACTCCTGTACTCCCAGTACTTTGGGAGGCCATGGCAAAAGGATCACCTGAGGTCAGGAGCTCGAGACCAGCCTGGCCAACATGGTGAAACCCCGTCTCTATTAAAATTATAAAAATTAGCCCCACGTGGCCGTGGATGTCTGTAATCCCAGCTACTTGGGAGGCTGAGGCAAGATAATCACTTGAACCTGGAAAGTGGAGGTTGCAGTGAGCCAATAACACGCCACTGTACTCCGGCGTGGGTGAAGTACAGACTCTATCTCAAACAAAACAAAACAAAACAAAACAAAACAAAATGCAATTAGTTACTGGTGATACTTAAAAGTAAAATGATACCAAATAAAGTGCCATCTTTACCCCTTTCTTGCTAACAAGCTAATAATACTTGCAGAAATCATTGTCTTCACAAGTCACTATGATTGTGGCGGAATTGTGAGTTGATACAGTGTTTTGCAATTTTTTTTTTGATAACACATAGCAAGACAGAATTTGCTATTCTCCTTTGATCCCCAACAAGCAGATGCCTTGGGACATGCTTGAATAAATAATTTTAAAGGAGAAAAATAATATATTCATAAAGATGTGCCTCACAGCATTACTTGTAATAGTGAAATTAGAAACAACCTAAATTTTTAAAATAGATAAATAATATGGATATGGAAGAAAAATGGAAATACATTCAGATTGAGGAAAGTGTGATTGCCTTTATTGTTGTTTTTCTTTTT